AGAGCGTCGGCCTGCGGTCCTGAGAGACCCGGGTTCGGTTCCTGCTAAGGGTGCGTACCTCAGTTGCAGTTTGTCCTCGGCCCTGGTCGGTTGTGCAGGTGGCAGCCACTCGATGTGTCCCTTTCACATCGATGTTTTTCTCTCTCTCTCTCTCCCTCCCACTCTATCTGTACAAAAAAATAGAAAAATGTCCTCGGGTGAGGATAAAAACAAAAATCTAGTTAATGTGGATGAGAACTAACTGTTCATTGCTAACTGTTGATTGCTGAATAAATTTATAAAACTGCAAAAAGTAAGTTATTTGAGAGTCTTAATGAGCTAGACAAACCTGGTGAGTGATAAAAAATTAAAAATATGCAAATGAACAAAGAACAGAATGAAAAAGGGGAAATGGACAGACCAACATAGATAAAAATATATACTGTTAATTTTTTCTTTATTGATTTTTAGAGAGAGAGTAAGGGAGAGGGAGAGAGAGAGAGATAGAAACATCAATGAGAGAGAACATCGACTGGCCGCCTCCTGCATGCCCCTCACTGGGGATTCGGCCCAAAACCTGGGCATGTGCCCTGACCGGGAATCGAACTGGTGACCTCTTGGTGCATGGGTCGATGCTCAACCACTGAGCCACAGTGGCCAGGTGATGAAAATATTTTTTTAAAAATTAATGAACAGTCCTGGCCGGTTTGGCTCAGCAGTTAAGAGTATCTGCCCGTGGACCAGAGAGTTTCGGGTTCAGTTCCCGCTAAGGGCCCATACCTCAGTTGCAGTTTGTCCCCAGCCCTGGATGGGGTCTTGTGGGTGGGAATCAGTCAATATGTCTCTCTCACATCGATGTTTCTCTCTCTGTCTCTCTTCTTCCCTCTCTCCCTCCCGCTCTATCTGAAGATAAATGCAAAAAAAAGAAGTCCTCAGGTGAGAATAAAAAAAAATAAAATAATGAACAGCCCCGCTGGTGTGGCTCAGTGGATTGAGCGTCGCCCCATGGACTGAGAGGTCCTGGTTCCATTCCCCAGCAGCGCACATGCCCAGGTCTTGGCCTTGATCCCCAGTAGGGTGTGTGCAGGAGGCAGGCGATCGATGTTTCTCACATCAATGTTTCTATCTCTCTCTCCCTAAAAAAATAAAAACATATTAAAAATTAAAAAACAAAAAACCATACTGATATACCAACTTTCCAGCATTTAGGTGAATAGAAATTTAAAAACTTGACAACAGCCCTGGCCGGTTTGGCTCAGCAGTTAGAACATTGGCCTGTGGACCTGAGAGTCCCGGGTTCGGTTCCCACTAAAGGCACGTCACATACCTTGGTTGTAGTTTGTCCCTGGCCTCGGTTGAGGTCATGTAGGTGGTGACCACTCGATGTGTCTCTTGCATCAAGGTTTCTCTCTCTCATTTTTTACTCCCTTTCTCCCTCCTGTTCTATCTGAAGATGGATACAAAAGTGTCCTCAGGTGAGGATAAAAAACAAACAAACAAAAAACTATAACCTGTTGGCAAAGTAATGGGGAAACAGACACCCTCATATATTGCTGGCTGAAGCACACATTGTATAAAACCTATGGAATTTGGCCCTGGCCAGTTTGGCTCAGCGGTTAGAGCGTCGGCCTGCGGTCCGGAGAGACCCGGGTTCGGTTCCTGCTAAGGGCACGTACTTCGGTTGCAGTTTGTCCCTGGCCCTGGTTGGTCGTGCGGGTGGCAGCCACTCGATGTGTCCCTTCATGTCGATGTTTCTCTCTCTCTCTCCCTTCCTCTCTCTCCCTCCCATTCTATCTGTACAAAAAATGGAAAAATATCCTCGGGTGAGGATAAAAAAAAAAAGAGAAAAAAATTTAAAACCTATGGAATTTGGCAATATTTATTTTTATCCTCACCTGAGGACATTTTTGCATTTATCTTCAGATAGTGCGGAAGGGAGAGAGGGAGAAAGAAAGAGAGAAACATCGATGTGAGAGAGACACATCAAGTGGTTGCCACCCGCACAACCCCAACCAGGGCCGGGGACAAACTGCAACTGAGCTACGTACCCTTAGTGGGAACTGAACCCGGGACTCTCTGGTCCGCAGGCCGACGCTCTAACCACTGAGCCAAACCGGCCAGGGCTGGCAATATTATTTATTTATTTATTTATTTATTTATTTATTTATTTATCTATTTTAGAGAGGAAGGGAGAGGTAGAAGCATCAGTGTGAGAGAGACACATCAATTGGCTGCCTCCTGCATGCCCCCCACTGGCGATCGGGCCCACAGCCTGGGCATGTGCCCTGACTGGGAATCGAACTGGGACCTCTCTGTCCATGGGATGACATACACATTTACTCTTTGACCCAACAATTTACTTCTGGAAAATTTACCCCAAAGATTCACACCCACAAAGTTATGAATATTATTTGTAGTTACAGTATTCTCTGTTACAGCAAAATTGTGTAAACAACTTAAATTCCCACCTATGGGAACTGGTGAATAGTGTATCCAATACTATGCAGCCAAAAAGGAATGAGGACAATCTCTCTAAACTGATATGACGTGATGTCCAGGATATGTTATGAAATGAAATAAGGTGTATATTATGTTTTGTTAAGGAAAATACAATGTGATTACAATGTGCCCTGGCCAGTTTGGCTCAGCAGTTAAGAGTGTTGGCCCTCAGATCAAAGGATCTTGGGTTTGATTCCTGGTCAAGGGCTTGTACTTGGGTTGCAGGTTCAATCCTCTGCCCCTGTCAGGTCGTGCAGGAGGCAACCAATCGATGTGTTTCTCACATCAGTGTTTCTCTCTCTCTCTCTCTCTCTCTCTCCCTCCCTCCCTTCCACTTTACCTAAAAAAAATCAATGAAAAAATATCCTTGGATGAGGATTAACAATAAGAAAAAGGTGATTACAATAATAATATTGTATCATATGTCATTTTTGTCCCTAAACATTTTTTTTAATCCTCACCCAAGGACATTTTCCCATTTTTTGTTCAGATAGAGTGGGAGGGAAAGAGAGGAAGAGAGAGAGAAAGAAACATCGACGTGAAAGGGACACATTGAGTGGCTGCCACCTGCACAACCCAACCAGGGCCAGGGCCAAACTGCAACCGAAGTACATGCCCTTGACTGGAACCAAACCCGAGACTCATCAGTCCACGGGCCGATGCTCTAACCGCTGAGCAAAACCGGTCAGGGAACTAAACATATTTTTAATTCGATGTGTCATCTAATACATTTCCAACTGTTGTACAATAGTACATTTTATCTACTAGTCTCCCAGTTTCCCAGTGATGGACATTAGGTTGTCTCTGACTCCTTGCAATCACCAAGAATGTTGCCAATAATGCCCTATAAAATAACATTACGTCCTTCACATCATACAGAGAAGAAAATCTAGATAATTAGGAATTCAATTGTAAAAAAATTTTAAACTTTTAGAAGAAAATATAGAAGCATAGTTTTATAATATTAGAGTAGGGAAAGATTTCTTAAATTCTAGAAAGCTATACAGTGAAAATTGATGGATTAAATATATTCAAACTTCTGTATGATAATAAATAACAACAAAAAAACCTGACAAATTATAGGAAATAACTAGCAACATACATAAACTGTCAAAAGTTTAATTTCCTTAATATAAAAAGTAAGAACTGCTCTGGCCCCTGTGGCTCAGATGGTTGGAGCATCCTCCAGGACACCAAGAGGTCTCTGGTTTCATTCCCGGTCAGGTCACACACTCAGGTTGTGGTTGGATCCCCCAGTCTGGGCACCTGCGGGAGCAATGACCCATACATACACCAAGAGGTCACTGGTTGGATTCCCAGTTTGGGGCACATGCCCAGGTTGTGGGCCTGATCCTCAGTGGGGGGCATGCAGGAGGCGACCAATCTATGTTCTCTCTCATAAATGTATCTATCTCCCTTTCTCTTCCTCTCTAAAAATCAATGAAGAAAAAATATATTTTAAAAAGCTGTACACCAGAAATTTATATAATTTATAAATTTACCAATGTTAGTTACAATAGATTTAATAAAAACTTAAAAAATAAAATTGTGCCCTGGCTGATTTGGCTTAGGGGTTAGTCGCGGTTTCAATTCCAGTCAAAGGCAGTACCTCGGTTGTAGTTTGGTCCCCTGGCCGCGTGGGGGTTGTGGTCTGCAGGAGGCAAGCACTGGATGTGAGACACATCCACGTTTTGTTTTTTTTTATCCTCACCAGAGGACAATTTTTGCATTTACTTCCAGATAGAGCGGAAGGGAGGTAGGGGGAGAGAGAAACATCTATGTGAGAGAGACACATTAACTAGTTTCCACCCACACGACCCAACCCAGCCAGGGACGAACTGCAACCGAGGTGAGTGCCCTTAGCCTAAGGGAACTGAACCGGAGACTCTTTAGTTAAGGGCTAAGGGAACTGAACAGGAGACTTTAGCTCGCAGCTGACGCTGTAACTGCTGAGCCAAACCGGCCAAGGGACCACATTAACTTTTTTTTTTTTTTACCTCTTCCACTGTATCTTAAGATAAGTAGAAAAAATTCAAGGGTGAGAATTTAAAAAAAGAAAAATTATGTAGTTAAGGAAACAAAGCTAAGCCCTGACTAGTTTGGCTCAGCGGTTGGAGCGTAAGCCTACGGCTCAGAGACCCGGGTTCGGTTCCGCAAACAAAAATAATTAATAGCACTGGGGGCAGGAAAAATAAGCCACCTCACAATAAAAACATGAGAAAAACACATTTTTAACTTCTTAATGGTAACTCCTAAGGGTAGTGAAGCTACCTATTTCCACTCACATGTTAGGCGGGATGAGATGGTTAAGTTAAAGACCACAAATGCGGTTTTAGTACGTAGCTGCGTTCTAAGCACAAAGCCCATCGAGAGTTGTTCGCCGTGTACAGAAATACCTCGAACCTTGGCGAAAAAATTTACCTCTAAAGGCAAAAATACCGTAGCGCGATAAAGTAAGCTCCTACCAAGGGAGCCTCCAAAAAAGCACCATATATTCTCTTATTCAACAATTAAAAACGAAAGCCACTCAGAACGCGTTCTCCCCCTCTCATTCCCTCCGAAGAGAGAAAAAAGAACGATCATCAATGGCAAATAGCAGTTGCCGAAGCAACACTAAGAGCCGGCTTCACGCTCAGGAGAGAACGCTGTATCTCCTCCTCGTGGTTTCGGGTGCTCTACACGATCAGAGAAACTTCTCTAGTAACAAACTATAGAAATGATCCCTGAAAGTATAGTCTTAACTTCCAGCTCGCTGCCTCTGCCAGGTCTACGGCAGCCGTGAACTTTTCAGTCATGGTAACATAGTTGCCCTCTTTCTGGTTCCACTGATAACGAGAGAGGCTTTCTAGTACGTACAATCATTCAAATGCTATCATTCAACAAAGAATTTTTACACTTCAAGTGGACAAAAAATGTAAAAAGTTTCTTTAAAAACAGCAACCTCATTAACATAATCCTGAATGACAGCCAATCACAATCTGCATCGATAGAGCCCACGAGGCGTTACCTCCGCAGTTCCGGCCAAGCGGCCTGGCCCCAGGAACTAAAGGAAAGGGCGGGCCTCTCCTTTCTTACCGAGCAGCGAGCGGACGGTGATTAGTGAGCTGCGCACGCAGTGGCTGTTTGACCCTCATGAATTGCCAAGACTGTGTGGCAGGGAGGGGAACTGGTGGTTGGGAACCAGCCCTGGGAAACAGAATCTTTTGGTTTTAGTATCATATTTGCAGTATCTGTTCACGCTGTTTGAGTTGCTAAAATAAAGCTAGTTGGTGGCTTTAACATCAAAAAAAAGAAAGAAAGAAAAAGTAAAAACTTATTGGAGCCCGGGCCTGTTTGGCTCAGCGGTTAGAGGGTCAGCCCACGGAGACCGAAGGGTCGTGGGTTCGATTCCCCGTCAAGGGCAGGTTCGATGTCCAGCCCTGGTCGGGGTCCTGCGGGAGGCAACCAATCAATGTGTCTCTCACATTGCCGTGTCTCCCTCCCACCTTCCCTCCCTTCCACTCCAGGAAAAATCAATGGAAAACTGTCCGCTGGTGAGGATTGACAACAGCAAAAAACATTGGGAATGCATTTCCTAATAAGACGAATAAACTGTTTATCAATTTGGTCCACATGGAGTAACACAGTTTGTCACTAATTCTATTCCCGTTTTTGTTTTAAAAAGTAAGATCTGAGAAACCTTAAACAAGTAGATGGGAATTAGAGTTTTTTGTTTGTTTGTTTGTTTGTTTTTAGTAATGGCACTATTTCCCTCTGTTGACTGTCCCCAGCGGTTGTTACAGTAGAGGGTTACTTAGATATTAACATAAAGGAAGGGAGCACAAACTGGGACCTCTCTCTTGTGCTCCAGGGTCCTTTCTCTCTTGTTAACCTCTCCTACGGCCTCTCCCCAGCCCTTGCCGCCTTGGCTGCCGTCCTCTTGCTGCCTGTTCTGCCCAGCTCCGGATCCGAACTTCCCTGGCTCTGCTTTCTTCCAGTCCCTTCCCTCGCGTCGTCCCAAGCCCTGCATCCCTGGGGCTCTCACCGGGCTCCAGCTTCTCTTGTGCTCCTCTCCGCCTCCACACTGGCGGTGCCCCTGGCACGCTCTGCTCCCTCCCTGTAGCTGCTGCTGCTAGTCAGGGACCCTGGGCCATGTGGGCTCCAAAGTCTCTGAGCTGTGCCATGAAAACATGGGAAATCAGCCCTGGCCGGTGTGGCTCAGCGGTTAGAGCGTTGGCCTGCAGTCCCAAGAGACTGGGGTTCGGTCCCGCTAAGGGCATGTGCCTTGGTTGCGGTTTGTCCCCGGCCCTGGTTGGGTCCTACGGGAGGCAGCCACTGGATGTATCTCTTTCACGTCCATGTTTCTCTCTCTCCCTCCCACTCTATCTGAACAAAATATGAAAAAATGTTCTCGGTGTGGATTAAAAAAAACCAAAAACATGGGAAATCATGCCTCCAAGGCTAAAAATTCCCAGACTGCAGCCCTCATTAATAATCCTGCAAATATATAATAAATAGAAAGCCTTTACTTACAACTACATACAGAGATAGAAAAGTTAATATAAAACTAATTAGGAAGATAATTTTAAAAGAAACTCCTCAAAAGGAAACTAATCTTTTTATTTTATTTTTTTTATCCTCACCTGAGGACATCCTGAGGAAGAGAGAGAGAGAGAGAGAGAGAGAGAGAGAAACATCGATGTGAAATGGACACATCGAGTGGCCGCCACCTGCGCGACCAACCAGGGCCGGGGACAAACTGCAACCGAGGTACGCTCCCTTAGCGGGAACCAAATCCGGGTCTTTCTGGAAGGCCAATGCTCTAACCGCTGAGCCAAACTGGCCACAGCAGGAAACTAGTCTTAAGACTGAACATTTGTTAACTTTTCCCACAACTCCTGCACCCTCTCATACCTAGGAGTACCCAGCAATTTATGATCTCCCTAGAGAAGGCAGGATAGGATTTGCCCCCAGGGCCCTAGCTAATATACATAGATCACCAGGGATCCTCTCTGATCCTTCCCAGGTCCCCTGTCTTATTTTTTTAATTGATTTTTAGAGAGAGAGGGAGAGAGAGAGTGAAACATTGACCTGCTGCCTCCTGCATGCCCTCTACCAGGAACTGAGCACACAACCCAGGCATACGCCCTGACTAGGAATCAAACTGGCTACAAACAAACAAAAGAATCAACCAATAAATGCATAAATAAATGGAATAAATCGATGTTTCTCTCTCTCTCCATCTCCCTTCCTTTCTCTCTGAAAATCAATATTTAAAAAAAAAGACATTTTTGAGGCCTTGAGAACTTGAGGAATTCACCAAAACCTATAGATGTTGCAGGCAAAGCCTTGGCTTCTCCAGTCTGAGGGACTAATTAAAGATCAATCTGATCCGGCCGGTGTGGCTCAGTGGTTGAGCATCGACCCATGCACCAAGAGGTTGCCGGTTTGATTCCCAGTCAGGGCACATGCCCAGGTTGTGGGCCTGATCCCCAGTGGGGGACATAAACATGCAGGAGGTGGCCAGTCGATGTTCTCTCTCATCAATGTTTCTGTCTCTCCCTCTCACTTCCTCTGTCTCTCTAAAATCAATAAAGAAAAAAAAATTTTTTTTTATCCTCACCTGAGGACATTTTTTTGCCTTTATCTTCAGATAGAGCGAGAGGGAGAGAGGGAGGAAGAGAAAGAAACATCGATGTGAGAGAGACACATTGACTAGTTGCCACTCACACAACCCCAACCAGGGCCGGGGACAAACTGCAACCAAGGTACGTGCCCTTAGCGGGAACCAAACCCGGGTCTCTCTGGACCTCAGGCCGACGCTCTAACCACTGAGCCAAACCAGCCAGGGCAAGAAAAAAAAAATTTAAATAAAATCAATAAAGGAAAAAAATTTAAAATGAGGGTGATTTTAGGGGGAGAAAGTGTTTCAATGGAAATCATAATGCCCAGTTGTGGATATTAGACTCTAGTTCAGTGAATAATCTTCACAGTTTTATTTTTCACCTATCAACTAAACTGAACCCTGAATTCTTCTAGTTTAGTTCAACCCTCCAAACTAATGTTTTCTTTTTCTTCTGTCCTTTGACTTGGAATTATTGAGAACTAAACCTTTTTCTAAGGCTGTGTATGCTGTACAGAATTTACCTGAGCACCTGGTAACGCCACCAGAGGTATTCAAACTGCAGATAAAGAGGAACTATCAAATTGTCACTACTTGCTTTCATTCCAGCAACTGAAACTTTAAGCCTTACATCTAAAAATCTCACACTACAGACTCAAAAATTGGTTTATAATTTGCTGTAACCATCAACCTTTGTTTTTCCTTGTTTTCATAGGCATACACCTTATTTAATAACTGTTTGCTTGCCCTGGCCAGTTTGGCTCAGCGGTTAGAGCGTCGGCCTGCGGTCCAGAGAGACCCGGGTTCGGTTCCCGCTAAGGGCACGTACTTCGGTTGCAGTTTGTCCCCGGCCCTGGTTGGTCGTGCGGGTGGCAGCCACTCGATGTGTCCCTTCACATCGATGTTTCTCTCTCTCTCTCTCTCTCCCTTCCTCTCTCTCCCTCCCACTCTATCTGTACAAAAAATGGAAAAATATCCTTGGGTGAGGATAAAAAAAAAAAAAATTAAAAAATAACTGTTTGCTTGCCCTGGCCGGTTTGGCTCAGCGGTTAGAGCGTCGGCCTGTGGTCCTGAGAGACCCGGGTTCGGTTCCCGCTAAGGGCACGTACCTCGGTTGCAGTTTGTCCCCGGCCCTGGTCGGTCGTGAGGGTGGCAGCCACTCGATGTGTCCCTTCACGTCGATGTTTCTCTCTCTCCCTCCCACTCTACCTGAACAAAAAATGAAAAAATGTCCTCCAGTGAGGATTAAAAAAATAAAAATTAAAAAAAATAACTGTTTGCTTGTTTACACAATATAAGTCTCACTTTGGGAGCCCATCTGCATCACCACCTCCTGATATGAGACCCAACAATTTAATTGAACTAACTTATTTTCAGGACTAAATAACTGAGTCAGTGAAACAGCTGTGAAACTCCAAGGACTAACTAGCTGGGTCCACCTGTCTAGGATTAAACCTTTTTCTTCTGAGTATTCCCACCAGAATCCAGAAGAGGGAGCATGCCCATGACTGCCAACCCCAAGAGGACTTGAAGTTTCTTTCTCGGAAGAGAAACCCTGGAATCAGCAACCAGTAAAATCAGAGCCTCCCATCCAGAAGCTGTCATGCTGCAGATGACCCCACAACAAAGGTGTCAACTTGTCTAGTAGCGCCACCTTCTAAACATCACATATGCTGCCTTCCAAGGACAGCGACAGACTAACCCTGACTTTACAAAATCCTCCCCACGTAGTCTTCCCTCCTCTGTTGGTACCCTTCTTCTTGTTGGCAGATAGCAAGGATCTCTGTCTGGGACAGGCAGGACTATGCCTCTTGACAACTGGAAGAAGCTACAGAAAATGAGACCTCCGTCCATTTACCCTTGTAAGATTACAAGGGCCCAGAATTCTTGAGAGAGGAATGTTACAATACTTCGTTCGTTCGTTCGATTGATTATTAACAAAAAGGAAGGTCAAATGGGACCAGCCAGATTAACTAGGAAAGGCCGGTTTCACCGTTATTCCAAGCATCTGAGGAGGCAGTAAAAACACTTCCTAGTCATCTCCAGGCCTCCACCCCCCTAATGGGGGTGAAGGAGAATGGCTCAGAGGAAACTCCATTACTGAGTGCATGCCCAGTAGAAGCCGGAAGGATGACCATTAAAGAGGAGGAGAGAACCTGGGGGAAAGATGGATAGGATAAGGAGTAAGCCTGGGAAAAGCCAGGGAAGGGATTGGATAGTTTGAAAGAAAGTCTGCTCTCTTCCAAGCCCAAGGACATAAGGGGAAGTTTAACAGACCCCAGTCTTTTTTAGCAGTTTCGGGGCCAGAGCCCAGCACCAATCATAGCCCAGGCCGGTGGAGCCCCAGCAGGGGACGTACAGACAGGGAATGAGGCACAGGGAAGTTAAGTAAGTTGCCCAGGGTCAGCCTCGTGTGCCAGGGTGATGCAGTTCTGGGCCCTGTTGACCCTCCTGTGCCTGGTGGGCTCAAGTGCAGGCCTGTGGCCCTGGAAGCTGGACTTCTTCTATGAGCTGAACTACCTGGTCGTGGATGAGGCATGGGGTGTAGTGTTCTGGGGGCAGACAGACAACATAGACAAGCTTCTGCTGCTCCTGTACCCTGGGGAAGGGCCTCCTCGAGTGTGGCAGCCTTTTCAAGGCGCTGTAATAAATCTTTCCACTATCGCTCAAATTCTCCTGCAGTGTTCCCCTGAATTTCCTTTCCTGTGACACTGTGGAAGAACTATTTCCAGACCAGTCTTCCTCCAGTAAGTTTTTACATCCCAGGCACTGTGGTTTATTTTGCAGAAAATAAAATGCATGAACTAGATTTACAGATACCAACATCAACAAACCTTGAAAGCATAATGTTGAATTTATTTATTTTAAAAAAAATGTTTTTGTTGATTTTTTAGAGAGAGAGAAAGGGAGAGATTGAAACATCGAGCAGCCGTCCCCTACTGGGGATGGAGTCCACAACCCAGGCACGTGCCCTGACCGGGAATCCAACTGGGACCTCTCGGTCCATGGAACGACGCTCAGTCCGCTGAGACACACCAGCAGGGCCATAATGTTGGACTTGAAAAGTAAGTTACAGAAGGATGAATAGATATGGTATTTACATACATTTTAAAAACACACGACCAAGGGTAGATGGAGGACATAACTTCAGAATAGTGGGTATCACGGGAGACTAGGTGCAGTGAGTGGTATTATGGATGTACAAATGCAGGCTTCAACTGTAAATACAAGGTTTTGTTTGTTTTACAAGAGAACAAACCCGTGCTTGCTTCGGCAGCACATGTACTAAAATTAGAACAATACAGAGATTAGCATGGCCCCTGTGCAAGGATGACATGCAAATTCGTGAAGCATTCCATATTTAAAAAAAAAAAGAACCTACATTTTTATTTATTTATTTAATTCTCAACCAAGAATATGCTTTTCTTTGATTCTAGAGAGAGAGGAAGGGAGAGAGGGAAAGAAATGTCAATGTGAGAAACAATGATGGATTGCCTCACTACACACACCCAACTGAGGATTCAACCTGCAACCTGGGTATGTACCCTGACCAGGATTCGAACATGTGACCCTTCGGTGCACGGGAGGACGCTCTAACCATTGAGCACACTGGCTGGGCTCCATTAATCTTTTGACAGACCTCATCTCTCTTCGTCTTCTTCTTCTTCCTCTTCCTCTTTGTCCTCCTCCTCTTCTTCTTCTTCTTTTAAAAACTATTTACTCCACGTCCCCACATTCACAATACAGAGCAGGCACAGGGCCCGGGCTGAGGTGTACATAGGGTGGGTTTACTCTGCCTCCTTTCTGTACAGTGAGAGTGAGAACACAGCCTGTGGTAAGCACCCGGAGCACCACTCCCATCTTGAAACTTCTTTTCTGCTCTTGATTTCTGTGCTGCCCTCACTCCTGGTTTTCCTCTAACCTTCCTAATTTCACACGTTCCTTCTGCCACACACACCCCCTTTAGGCCAGTGTTCTAGGAACCTATCCTAGATGGTTTTCTCTCCTTGCTCTACGTTCTTTTCTTGGACAAATCCAAACCACCACTTAGTATTTCCCTCTGGCTTGACTGCTCATTGTCCTAAATTGTCTTTGAGGGGAGCAGAGGTTGCCACCCCAAAACATGCCAGTCTGGCTTCAGAAGCCTGCCCAGTGTGGATTTGGCGACTGGGTAAGTGGATGAAGGATGTATGGGTGCATGGGTCTCCCTACTAATGCTCCAGGGGCCCCAAGGTCGCTCACCTTGGCAGCGTTACATCCCTGCCTACTAGTGTTACTGGAGGGGTCTGGGAGGGGGTGGGGCAGGTCTGCCTAGGGCCCGCCTAGTGCGGGTTCTTGACTTCGTGAAGTAAAGATTTCACTATACGAGTCCAGATGTTTTTGAGAGTATGTTTATTAAAGCTGGGGACAGTGAAACAAAGGGAAGTCTTAAGATAGAAGAAGCAACAGGGAGAGAGGAAAAGTCAGAGAGAAGGGGGCCCGGGAGACAGGTTCAGTGGGTAAGCCTGGGATGAGCTGCAGTTGCCCACTGCTCCCTGGGCTGCAAGTCTCATGGGGTCCCTTGGAGTTTAGAAGATGTATGCCTGTGGAGGAAGAAGTCTAGGAAGGGAAAGATTCAGGTGTACTCCAGACGGGGAGAACGTGCCTTGGATTCTTTGTCTCTAAGTTTTTTGTGTTTTTTTTTTTTCAGATAGAGGGGGAGGGAGAATGGGAGGGATAGAGAGTGAAAAATCGATGTGAGAGAGACACATGGAGTGGTTGCCACCCACACGACCCCAACCAGGCCAGGGACAAACTGCAACCGAGGTCCCTGCCCTTAGCGGGAACTGAACCCGGGACCTTCTGGTCCGCGGGCTGCCGCTCTAACCACTGAGCCAAACCAGCCAAGGATGCCACAAAGCTTTTTATCTCTCTTTGGCCAGGAATCCTAGGGGAGGTCTCTGGGGAGGGTCTCAACCGAATATTCATTAACTTTTCAGATGTGTTCTTCAATATGTTGATTCATCAAAATGTGCGTGTAAAGGAGCCAGGGTTATTTTCATTTTTATTATTTTTTAATCCTCACCCAAGGATAGTTTTCCATTTATCTTCAGGTAGAGAGAGAGGGAGAAAAAGGGAGAGAGAGAAACGTCGATGTGAAAGGGACACATTGACTGGCTGCCTGGCTGCCTCCTGCATCAGACCTGGGTCGGTGATGAACTACAACTGAGGAATGCTCTTGGCCAGAATCGAACCCAAGACTCTTTGCTCCGTGGGCCAGCACTACTGCTGTGCCAAACCGGCCAGGGTATTTTAATTTTAGTTTTTTGGGGGGTACATGCCCCTAGCAGGAACCAAACTCGAGACTCTCTGGTCCGCAGGTCGATGCTCCAACCGCTGAGCCAAATCGGCTAGGGCTTAGTTTTAGTTTTAAAGAATGTTATTGAAGAGAGACTGGGACTGAGGCTGGTCTGCCCCCACAAACAGTCTGGAATGTATCAACCATTTGCTCCTAAGTGTTCTTGGTTAGGGAAGATAAAACCTTGTGATTTATTAGCTGTGATTGCTCAAATTGTTTGGCTGTGTCTAATTATTTTGTCTCAGTTTCTCTTATCCTACTTGTCAATAAATTTCTCTAGCTTCTTACTATCCTACTGCAGGCATGCTTGGAATGGCAGCTTGTTCTTGCAGAATTGTGTGTTTTTGTTGGAGTGGCGATGGTGACCCTAACTGGGTAGCTTAAACAACAGAAATGTATTGTCTCACAGTTCTGTAGGCCTCACGTAACTAATTACATCTGCAATGACCCTGTTTTCAAATGAAGTTGTTACAAACCCAAGGAGTTTGCTGCTTGGGGTATTCTATTCAAGAATAAGATGGTGCCCTGGCCGGTTTTGCTCAGTGGTTAGAGCGTCGGCCTGTGGTCCAGAGAGACTTGGGTTCGGTTCCTGCTAAGGGCGCGTACCTCGGTTGCAGTTTGTCCCCGGCCCTGGTTGGTAGTGCCGGTGGCAGCCACTCGATGTTTCTCTCTCTCTCTCCCTCCCATTCTACCTGAATAAAGGATGGAGAAGTGTCCTCGGGTGAGGATTAAAAAAAAAAAAAGAATAAGATCGTTGTTGTTAGGTAGTTTTATTTACTTCAACAAATAAAGGAGAAGAGATTCACATCCAAAACTTTGTCACTCTGTTCTCCCCAAGGGAGGCTTAGCCATTGCTTATAACACTATTTGGTTAATTACATGTCGATTTCTTCTTTGCAGTTGGCTACACTTACCAGGTTCCTGTCAGGCTCATCCTATTTATAGCTGCGTCTGGAAACTACGTGCTACATGTTAACATTTAGTAAGAAAAGCATTTAGTAAGAGCCACCAGACCCTAGGACCCTTGTCCTATCTAACAAAGGTTACATTCTGAGGTACTGAAGGTTAGGACTTCAATATGCCATTGGGGGAGGGGGAGTGCAATTAAACTCATAACACCAAGCAACGTTGATGATGCTTTAAAACACTAATCTGATCATATTCTCTAATGAAGCTTTTCAGTGGTTCTCCACTGCTCTCAAGGTAAATCCAGGCTCTCAGCTTGGCACTGAAGGCCCATAAAATTTGGTCCCTGCCACTTAAACCCTTGCCCTTTCTTCACCACTCTGCTCACACTGCTCATGGTGCCTAACTGCCTAGAATGCCCTACTTCTGTGGGTCCTTTAATGCTCTGCCGGTGAGTTACTGAAGATTCTGTTACCCGGGCTCATCACACATCCTGCCTCCTAGGGCCTAGCACAGGGTTTGACACAGTGCTCAATAAATTTTTGTTGAATGAATGTATGAAGGCAATTATTTTCAAGCGTTTTTATAAAAATTCATTTTAAAAAATCCTCGCACGAGGGCATTTTTCCATTTTCGTTCAGGTAGAGAGGGAGGGAGAGAAAGCGAAACATTGATATGAGAGACACATGGACTGGTTGCCTCTGGTGCCACCCTGATGGAGGATGAACCGCAACCAAGGTACGTGCCCTTGACTGGAATCAAATCCGCGACTCATTGGGAGTCCGGGGGCCATAGCTCTACCGCTGAGCCAAACCGGCCGGGGCTAAAAATTCATTTTTTTAGAAAATTCAAAAGAAGTGTTAGCTTGGCGTTCCATATATAAAAGACTTTCTGGTTGGACCAGGCTTCTGTATTCCTGCAAATCTGGTTTCTGCTCTGCCCCCTAGTGGTGGCCCTAGGCGGCGCAGGAAAACTAAAGGACTATTTAAGGTATTTCCGGAACCGGGAGTTGGTGCTTTATCTCATTTATATACCCACAATGCATTGCACATAGTACCTTTTCTACTTTAAAACGGCTGGATTCTTTTTCTTTCAGCATCTCCCCCCCACTAAACATGAGACTGCTTTCACAGAATTGTCTGAACTAAAGGAAGAAGCCACTAGCTCTTTTGTGGAAATAGTTACCATTGCTTTTCTAGGAGTTACAGTTACCCGAGGACTGTGTGAAAAGGTGTACAAAACATACTCTGGTTTCTCTTCAGATCGCATAAATCTTTCGCCTTTTACTAAAGATTTCCGTGGAGAGGAACAATTCTGAGTTTTTACTCAATTTTTTGAGGCCTTGCACTTGCAGGGCTTACAATAGTATACAAAAGAAAGAGGTGGTCTTTATTGTGCAGATAATGAGTTTGCTTTTAATATGTGCATTGAGTTATCACTGTAGGTACTTAACACTAAAGACAAACTAGGTGTTAGAATATACAAGGCAAAAGTGTAGTTGTTATTTTGGGGTAGCTTTAGTTTTATGTTGAGATTGCCCCATCATCTAATGTGTGCAATTGAAAATAGCATTGATTGTTCTTACTAGTGGTCCAAGGGGGGGGTGACATCAATGTGAGAGACACATCAATTGGTTGTTTCCCGCAGGACCGACCAGGACCCCAACCAGGGTGGGGGATGGAGACTGCAACACAGGTATGTGCCCTTAACCAGAAATCAAAACCCCACCACCCTTGGGTCTGCAGGCTAATGATCTAACTGCTGAGCCAAACCAGCCACGGCTAAGGTTTCATTTTTTTAAGTTTCATGGTTTTCATTAAGCTATGATTGCCTTAGACTAGTGTAAGATTTCGGAATTTCCAATTATTAAAATTTTCAAGATATTTTTGGGGTACTATTTTTACCACTGTTCTGCAAAAGAAAGGCCATTTCAAGACTAAAAACAGTTAAGAATGACTTGACATCAAAGGACAGAACACCTTTTTTTTTTTTTTTTTTTTTTTTTTGTGGAACATGCCCCTAGCGGAAACCGAACCCAGGACTCTCTGGTCTACAGGCCAATGCCCAACCGCTGAGCCAAACTGGCCAGGGCAAGAACCCTTCTTTTTAAAAAAGTTTTTCTTTTTTTAAAAAAAATTTCTCCCCCTTTATTGATTTTAGAGAGAGAGGAAGGAAGAGGGAGAGAGAGAGAGAGAAACATCGATGAGAGAGAACATCGACTGGCCACCTCCTGCATGCCCCTCACTGGAGATTTGGCCCCACAACCTGGGCATGTGCCCTGACTGGGAATCAAACAGGTGATCTCCTGGTACATAGGGTGGATACTCAACCACTGAGCCACACCTGCCGGGCCAGGACACTTTTTTGAAATAAAAAATCCATTTAATGGAAATATAACTATATTTTGTTAACTTTGCTCTCTTCCCTCAGCCCAAATAGAGGAACGCTGAGGCTCAAAAATCAGTTTAGGGGAAAGCTGAGTTGCCTTAGTCTGACAATATCAGGGACAGTGATGCCCTCTTGTGGCAGTCTGGAGAATTAGGGCCATCTGACTTCCTGTCCTCTGACTTGAGGGACAGTTCCTTCACAATACCACCATTATTCATTCATGCATGCCAGGCATTGATCTCAATGTTTCATTGATCTCAATGTTTGGGATATATCAGTAAAGGGAGTGGCCCACCCCCTTTACATACATATATATATGTATGTATATATAGTTTATATACCTCGGTTCTCGAACGCCTCGGTTTTCGACCAAATCGGTATTCGACCAGGAGATTCGAGAAACTTTTGTCTCGGAATCCGAACAAATATTTGGAACTCGAACTTCCGAGATGAGCCGAGTTGAGCCGAATGGCGTTCATTCGGCCCAGTGCGCCTTGCTTGCGTCATCAGTGTGAGTGCAGAGAGAGAGTCACGCTTTGTGGAGTCACGCTTTCCTATTGGTTTCATTGCTTCGGTTCTCGAACAATTCGGTTCTCGACCGTCCTCCTGGAACGAATTATGTTCGAGAACCGAGGTATCACTGTATATATGTGTGTGTATATATATGCATATATAAATATAATCTCTATATCTATGTCTATCTATCTACCTACCTATCTATCCTTGCCCTGGTGGAGCTTACATTCAGGTGGAGAGACAATAAATAAATAAGCAAATGAATACTAAAAAAAAAAAAAAAGAAAGAAAAGGAAAATAATGGCTGTTATAGGGGGCTGGGGACCACAGTGTAGGGAGTGGTATGGTGTGGGCTGCAACTTAAAAAAGAGTAGCCCTCAGCCCTGGCTGGGTAGCTCAGTTGCTCAGAGCACTGTTCCAAAATGCCATGGTTGCAGGTTTGATCCCTGGTCAGGGCATATACAAGAATCAATCAGTGAATACATAAGTGGAACAACAAATCGATATTTCTTTCTCTCTCTCTCTCTCTAAATCAATCAATAAATTAAAAAACAAAACAAAACAAAAGAATAGCTCTCAATGAGAGAGTGACTTTGAGTAGAGTTGAGAGGAAATGAGGGAGTTAGCCATGCACCTAGATATCTGGGGTGACAGGTTCTAAGAACAGAACCTCTCTTACTGTTCAGCAGAAAAGTCAGCACAAAAGTCCTAAGGCTTGTTTGGCATTTAAGAAACACACAGCAAGTGTGTCTGGAGCCGGTGAAGGAGAGACAGTTCAGAGGTGATGGGAGACTAGAGTACTGTGGGCCCTGCTCTCATTTAATCTCCCTCTCCCCTCCACACACAGAGAACAGAGAAATAGCAAGACTGTTTATTGAACTCTTCCCAGCCAACAGCTCTCCCTCTCCCCCACTGGTGTGCCTAACCCACAGCCTGCAACCTAGGGCCAAGTTGAGTTGCCCTGAGATGGACTCTGGGCTACTTCTGCTAGACTTTCTGCCTTGGCCTTCCTGGCTTGCCTCAGAAGCTCTGTCACTCCTTTCCTTCCATATCCCCTTGGAAGCGAGGGAGGTCTACATCCTGATCATGAGAGCCAAAGTAAAAGCTCCTGTTGCCGTAGAAGAGGCCACTGCGGTATAATTCTGGAAACAGGGAGGTGAGCCTGAGTATGGGTGCTGGCTGCACCTCTGCTTCAGGTCCCCTCACTCCCCACTCACCTGTGGTAACATTGACTTTGTTAGTTGCCAAGATGTCCACCTGAACGCTATCTATTTTCATGTACAAGTCCTCTGCGTTGCTCTGAGGACAGAAGCAAGGGGAACCCAGTTGAGGTGCCAGGTGAGTCTAGGGATGTTGTTGCAGGCAGGAGCAGGAAAGGGAACGGGACATGCCGGGAGGTCCTTCCCTGCAGCTGGCCACCAGGCCCAATTTGTGTGAGGATGTACCAGGGGAGGGACAGTGTGGAGGAGACACCATTCTGTTTGGGCCACTGCTCTTTGTGGCGCAGGAGAGGGGGTGGTTGGGCGCACTTACGAGGAAGAGCTTGTAGAGTTCCTCCCCCATGGACCGATGCACACGCTCCTCCACCACCGGGAACAACCCCACGAAGTACTGCGACAGGCAGGCGGTGTGACTGCGGAGCCCACACCCAGTGCCCACCGCCCCAGCAGCTGCCGCCCCGCGCACCTCCAGCGTGAGGCTGGCCTGCCGCTGGCTGTTGCTGTGGTCTGTGTTGCCCATGGCGGCCATCAGGTTGTGCACCACACGCAGGTGCAGCATCTTCTCGGCCAGGCTCGTGCTGCTGCGTGCCAGGACCCTGGGCCCCGGATTCGAGTTGCAGTGACCTCTGGGCACTCCCGGGCGCAGGCCAGAGCGCTCCCTGGCATGCTTGCTGCATCCACCCACTGGCCCCTGCCTGCTTACCCGATGGCCTTGGCCGCGGCGGCCTGCTGCAGAAACACCGGCAGGTGGGTGTTGAGCTGGAGGACGGTAGAGTCTGGTGGAGAGAGGGCCGTGGGCCGTGAGGCAGGGGCCCCTCCCCTCACCGGGTGCCTTCCTCCCAGTCCCAGGGAATCCCTACCATTGAGGATCTTGGGCTGTAGTGTGCTGGTCTCCTTGACAGATGGTATCAGCAGGTCCACCAGGCCCTTGAGCAGCTCAGAGCACACATCATAGTTGACCAGGTCCTTGATCAGCTCGATGGCTGAGGAAACACAGAGGCAATGGACCTGCAGCTCCAACACTCTCCACCCCCACTGAGGAGGCTCTTGAACCAAGTTGCTTCGTTTTACCTCCATCCTCTTCATTGAGTTTTCCTTACCTTTTTTTTTTTTTAATCCTCACCCAAGGGCATTTTTTCGATATTTTGTTCAGATAGAGTGGGAGGGAGAGAGAGAGAGAGAAACATCAACGTGAAAGGGACACATCGAGTGGCTGCCACCCACACGACCCAACCAGGACCGGGGACAAACTGCAACCGAGGTACATGCCCTTAGCGGGAACCGAACCCGGGTCTCTCCGGACCGCAGGCCGACGCTCCAACTGCTGAGCCAAACCGGCCAGAGCACTTTTTTTTTTTAAATCCTCACCCAAGGATATTTTTTCCATTTATTTTCAGAGTGGGAGAGAGAGAGAGAGAAAGAGAAACATCAAAGTGAGAGACATATCAGTTGGTTGTCTCCCGCACTACCCGGCCAGGGCCCAACCGAGCCTCCACGTTTCAGACCACTGGTGGGCCCTCTAACCGCTGAGCCAAACTGGCCAGGGCGACTTTTCCTGACTTTTAATTGGCCAGCACTGCACAAAATGTGGGGAGAGCCGGGCACAGGACATCTCAGTTCTTTCTTCTTGGAGCTCTCGCTTATAGAGGAGGTTTAGAGAAACCATAGTTTCTGATGAACCATTATTGAGCCCTTCTTTGCCTTGGCTCTGTGCTCAAGGCAATGCGATTCCCTCTGCAATAACACTATGACTGTTATCCCCATTTTACATGAGAGGGAATGAGGCTAGAGAGGTAAAGCACTTTGCCTGAGGTACCACATCTAGCAAGTGGTGGGAGCAAAAGGAAGGAAAGATTTTCTTAGGAGGGAGGAGGCAATTAGAATTTATTGAAGGGATTTTCTTTTCTTTTTTTTTTTTATCCTCACCTGAGGACATTTTTCCAATTTTTGTACAGATAGAGTGGGAGGGAGAGAGAGAGAGAGAGAGAGAGAGAGAGAGAAACATCGATGTGAAAGGGACACATCGAGTGGCTGCCACCTGCACGACCAACCAGGGCCGGGGACAAACTGCAACCGAAGTACGTGCCCTTAGCGGGAACCGAACCCAGGTCTCTCCGGACCGCAGGCCAACGCTCTAACCGCTGAGCCAAACCGGCCAGGGCGAAGGGATTTTCTGTATATATTTTCCAGTTATTCATTCCTCCCAACATTCACTCAGCCTACAGAACACGTGCTGTGCCAGGTGCACAGCATGGGAAGGAGCGTCATAAAAGGGGCCAGTAGGCTGTGGGAGTGCCTGGGCAGGTGGGGAGGACTGCATATATATATATATTTTATCCTCATCCGAGGACATGTTTTTGCATTTATCTTCAGATAGAGCGGGAGGGAAAGAGGGGGGAAGAGAGAGAGAGAAACATAGATGTGAGAGAGACACATCGACTGGTCGCCACCCACATGACCCCAACTGGGCTGGGAACAAACCGCAACCAAGGCCTGTGCCCTTAGCGGAAACCGAACCTGGGACTCTCTGGTCTGCGGACCAACGCTCTAACCGCTGAGCAAAATTGGCCAGGGCAGACTACATATTTTTATAAAGAGAGAGGAACCATAGAGAGGCAGAGGCAGAATGGAGCTGGTTGAGGTGGATAGTACACCATGGTATGCCCGCTGTAAATATTATTCTAAACACATGTGCTTGCTACACGGTGACAGGATTTACAACTGTGCTGTCCCCAGCAGGAGCCAAGTGGGACCTATCTCTCCATTTACTCCTGGGGAGACTGGACTTAGAAAAAGTTCTTGTTTCTCTGACAAGCTCATTTGCATAGTGGAATGCAATGTAGACACAGACCTAATGTATTGACAGAATTATCTGTCTGAATAATGAAAATTAACCATTTATTTCTTTGTCAGGAGATTTTATCCAATAAGAACATGTTTGGGATAGTTCTCCACAATGTAAGAAGAGCCTCCAGTTGCTCTAATTTGGTTCTAATTATTTTTTAATCCTTGTCAGAGGATATTTTTCTACTTATCATCAGATAGAGTGGGAGGGAGGGAAAGAAAGGGAGAGAGAAAGAAATATCGATGTATGAGAGATACATCTACTGGTTGCCTCCCACACGACCCGACCAGGGCTGGGGAAGAACCGCAAACAAGGTATGTACCCTTGACCAGAATCGAACCTGCAACTCACTGGTCTGTGGGCTGACGCTCTAATTGCTGAGCCAAACTGGCCAGGGCCTGAGGATAAGCTTTTATTGATTTTTTTAGAGAGAGAAGAAGGGAGAGGGAGAGAAATATTGATGTAGGAAACATTGATCAGTTGCCTCCTGTATGTGCCCCGACTGGGGATTGAACCCACAACCTAGGTATGTGCCTTGACTGGGAATTGAACCTGCAACCTTTTGGTGTATGAGACAATGCTCCAACCAACTGAGTCACCTGGTCAGGGCTAATTTGGTTCTCATTTGGAATCACAGAGCCAGCATTGTGGAGGGAAAGGGACCAGTCCACCAAGCTTCCCTGGCTACCCCCAAACACTCTCCCACCTGCACAAAAACGCAGCCTGGGATGCACTATCTGCACTGGCTGGTGCCTGAAATCCTCAAGTCTTTCCCACTTGTTCTCTTATTGTTTGGTTATGAAACCTTTTCTTCCTTGCTCTTGAATGAGTGCAGCTTGGTGTTTGGATCTGAGTAGTCAGCTCCTCCTCACACCCAGTACTCTGGGCCTCGTCAGCAGCAGCACATCTCTCAGCAGCACTGGGCTCTTCCCAGGCACAAGCTGGTAGCACCTTAACGTGAGGACACAGTGGGAAAAATGCCTGCCTGTGCCTCAGAGAGCTCTTCCTGCAGCTAGAAATGACTCTGAACGTTCAGGGTAGAAATGAATAGGTGAAGATATTTTATGAAATTTTCCTGACCACAAATGGCATTCTCTACCTACACAGGACCAAGTACTCTAGGAGATGGATGGTTCTGTCTATTCACTTTACACTAAATGCTTGATCCTTCATTGATTATGTATCTGCAACACTTGGAGCTCCTCAGAAAAATGAAGACTTATTCACTGAAATCTTTTTTTTATCCTCACCCAAGGACACTTTTGAATTTATCTTCAGATAGAGTGGGAGGGAGAGAGGAAGGAAGAGAGAGAGAGAAACATCAATGTGAGAGAGACACATTGAGTGGTCGCCACCCACACAACTGCAACCAGGGCTGGGGACAAATTGCAACCGAGATACGGGCCCCTAGCGGGAACCGAACCTGGGACTCTTTGGTCCACGGGCCAATGCTGTAACCGCTGAGCCAAACCGGCCAGGGCTCACTGAATCATTTTTGATTGAGTTTTAAAATTCACAGCTGTCATTATTTATACACAAAGCGAAAGTGCTTGTCCCTGCTAAAATATCTCCACAAGAACCACAGCCAGTTACAACTCTATACACTGTGCTAGTTACTAAGCATAGCAGATTCATTCAGAAAGCAAAGGACAACAGGAGACTACCTGCCATCTTTGGCAGCTCTGCCTCAAGCCTGTGGTGCTGATGACACCCTGTCCTACATTGAAGCAGTCCCTGATTCATTCATTGATGCATTCATTTATCTGGCAAATACTTATTGAGCATCTTCTTCATGTCAGATCCCTGTGCTAGGGCAATGAGGAGGACTAAGATACAGTCCCTGCCCTCAGGGATGAGACATCTAATGGGATACCAGGAAGGAAACTGGCATTTATGATGCCGTGTTATAAGAGCCGTGGGAACACAGAGGAAGTGAGGTTGGTGTGAGGGCATGTTGAGGGGGTGGCGGTGAGGTAGAGAATCAGGCTTCCTTGGAGAAGGTAATGAGTGAGTTGACAGAGCCATAGGGAGAAGGGAGGGACTAGAATGAAGAATGTGGCAAGTGTAGCCCTGGCCGGTTTGGCTCAGCGGTTAGAGCGTCCGCCTGCGGTCCGGAGAGACCCGGGTTCGGTTCCCGCTAAGGGCATGTACCTCGGTTGCAGTTTGTCCCTGGCCCTGGTTGGTCGTGCGGGTGGCAGCCACTCGATGTGTCCCTTTCACGTCGATGTTTCCCTCTCTCTCTCTTCCTCTCTCTCCCTCCCACACTGTCTGTACAAAAAAAAAAAAAAAAAAAAAAAAAAAAATATATATATATATATATATATATATAGAGAGAGAGAGAGAGAGAGAGAGAGAGAGAATGTGGCAAGTGCCATGTTGGAAAGTGCATGCCATCCTTGTGGCCAGGCAAGCAGGAAGGTCTGGTTGGGACACAGGGTGTTGGTGAGAGCTAATCCTGTGCAGGCAGGCCAGCCCCCACTTCGGGGGGGTTTTGCATATGCCAACCACCCTGTAAAGCAGGTGTTTTCTCATCTTTCATTTCAGAGAAAACTAAGACTCAAAAAGGTTGAGTAGCTTACCCAAGGTCAAACAATAAGTAGTAGAATGACTCTGTTAGATTCCAAAACTCATTTTCTTCACCACTAAACTCTGTGGAGAACGAGAAAAATAGACTGTGTGTGGGCACCATACTGGAGAGATGGAGTTTGGTTTAAAGGTAAGAAATACAAAGACCTCAATTACAGGAGACAGAATGGAGAATAGGGGACATATGTGAATGATATTAAGGAGTTAGAGTTGACTAGTCTTGTTGGAAATTGGCCAAAGATGGGAAGCAGGAAGAAATGATGATGGTCCCCGTTTCTGGGCGATTAGGTGTTTTTCACTGAGGTTAGGACCTTGGAAAATAAAAGGTTTGGAGCTGGAATATCAGGAATCCAATTCTGATCCTGGTTAGTGACATCCAAGGGGAGATGTTCAGAAGGCAAATGGAAATAGGGTCTGGAGCTCAGGAGAGAGGTCTGAGCTGTAAAGAGACCACTTAGCCACTCTGCCCGTCATCCATGAAATGGGAATAGCAATACTGCCTACCTCATCAGCTTGTTTTGAGGATTAAATGAGAAAAGAGCTACAGCAGTA